CAAACGAATTTTTCCTTTTCCACAGAATGGTGAAGATGAAATATAAATATTACTTAAATTATAATCTATTTATTTTGGATCATCATTACTGTATACCTATTCTTAAAATTATTATATTAAAAAAATTATTATATTAAAATTATATTTATGAAAACAAAATAATATGGGTACTGGGTATAGAAAGAAAGGAAATACGCATTTTTGAGAGACATGTATTTCAGAAGTCAAGACATTTATTTATTTACAGATATAGACAATGGAACGCATTCGCAAATTAATCTAACGCAAAGCAATTGGACGTGATACAAGTAACATAAAGATTTATCGCAAGATTTGAATATCGGAATATCATACATTTATACATATATATGCCCGTACGTTTATCTTATATACAATTTCGAGAAACGCTCGAATAGCTATGATACCTTAAAAATCTACGCGATCTCTCGTGACTTTTTTGGATAATACATAATATTACTTCCGAATAACTATATAGAATTTAATAATTACATAATATTTGATATATACTTAATATTATATTTTTTTACGAATATAGGTTAAATAGATTGATAATGCTACGCTTTTATGTCACTCTATGACTAGGTCTCTATACATTAAATTTCCATTCCATTGCAACTGAAACATAAAGCGATGAAAATTCGAAGCTGATCGTGCATTAATTTGAATTTAAAATTAAAATTGCATTTTACCCGAAATAAAACTGATAGCTCGCGCCTGTTATTTTACGTATTTTATCAATTTACAATGATTAGAAAAAAAAACGATTGACTTTAATTTTCAAGCAAATGAAAATTTTCTCAGAAATAACGGTTATGATTATCTAGATTTTTTCTCATATATACTTATTACAATGACTAAATTAATTTTCTAGAATTAGATTCTAGAAAATGATTAAAAATTATATACATGTTACTTTAAATTTATCAGTATATTTAAGTCAGTATATTTAATTAAATTAAAGGTACTCTTCCATTCTGAATTAACAGAATAATAGTAAATAATAATAAGAAACTTAAAACATAATCTGAACGAAAAGCTACATGCAAGCGAATAAATTGCATCATTGTTTAACTAATAAAAATATCTTTTGTCATTATTATAATCGCATTCAATAAGTTCGAGAGTTCGCTCCTAATATTACGATATTAGAATAGATCAATCGTAACAATCGTAAAGAAAATGAATGATCTGATATTTCAGAGGGAAAGATAACTGTATATATTATACTGCTCGTATCAATTGTATATTTGAATGTTGAAATTTATTAGCATGTTTAATATATGAGTTTTTTTATACTACATGCATACTGATTAATATTTCAATGCATAGCTTCAAGAACAAATCGTTTTAACATAAACATCATAAAGTATAATAGACATTTACCAAAATATAAAATAAAATAAAAAAAGATAAACATAATTATTTTATTATCTGTATAAGAGATTCTATTTAGAATGGTTATAAAGTCCTTATAAAATTCTTTTATAAACTTTCATAATCGTATACTGTACTTAATAAAATTATTGAAATTGAGTTATAAAAAATATTGGCGTTATACTTGATGAAGTTTAAGTATATATTAATAGCTATTTATTTATAAAAGTTTTTTAACAAATGAATTGGAATAAATAAAGTGACCTTTTGACCGCCACTTTATTAAATTTGAGCCCGTTTTTTTATTTTCTAGTATTATCCGTAAATCTGTTATTTCAGAATCTTAGTTTATATATAATGATGCTAATCATATTGAAAAATAATTTCAAGATTAATTATATAAATAAAATTGATAAAAATTCTTTTGTTTACTTTTTTATGGATTAATTGAATTATATATTATAAAATGAAAATTATGAAAGTTTTAAGTTGTACAAAGACTTTATATTTTACTCTCAAATATATCTCAAATGTCTTAATTCTTTGGTTTTCCTAGCTATATGATGATCTCACTATGAAAAGATCAATATGTTATCCAAAATTAATTATTAATTAATAGTATATAAATTCAAGAATATATACTGAATTCAAAACATTCATCATCAATATTTTCAAGACATAAAGTAAAATAAAAGAAAAAAAAATATAGTTATAAATATAAAAAAGAGAGAAACATATATCATTACAAGAAAATGTTATTTATATTATAATTATTATTGTGAATTGTGTTTTTATTAGCATTAAAGAGTGAAAGCTTGTTTTGATTAATTTAAAATAAAAGATTAAAATAACATATATTATTATTATATCTCTGCAAGTATATTTTTAATAACGTAATTCATATATGAGGAAAATTGAAAAAAATAACATAAAATTAATTGATACGAGACAATAAACTTATCATAAATGATAAATGATAAAATGATATAACTCTGTATAAAAATACGAACGATTATTTCTTATATAAATTCATTTAACTTATTATAAATGGAATTACGAATAAATAAATTATAAAAAAATATAAAAATCAAAAATCAAATAAAAAATCAAAAATAGTTAAATGTCTTGGTGAAATTAACATCTCTCTCTTTAAAGAGCATAACAGAGACGGATCTAAACGCAAAGAAATCTGTTCGTCAACTTAGCTAGTTAAATTGAGATCGTCATATCCCTCACACTTAGATAATCTATCATTTAGCATAATCGCGCCTTGCTATATATACATGTTCATTGCATATGCTATGTACATATTTACATCACACGAAAGATCGCTTCTGCCTATTGCTTGCTCGCGATTAATGTCGCGATTAATGTCGAAATTTTACAAGAAATTTACAAAGAATGTATGCCCCTCGCTAATAACCTGCTTCTAATTACATGACACGAGTCTACGACTAGAATTAGTTATTTAGATAACTGGATATGATTAGAGATCTATAATTTCTACAATAACTATATATGTCTTTGGCAATAGTGCACTCGATAAATTCAACATACGATCACGTATACATGTCAATTATTCAATCGTAAGATAGCGCGATCACAAACGAACATTTATGATGAACTTGAATAAGCATCGTAATGCGCTTTTCTTTTAAGGTATCGAAAAGATACAAATCATTTTTTGAATTTTTTGAAAGTATATTGATGTAAATTTCAACGTTTATTCGAGAATCTATATTCGTTGAAACAAGTTCATTCGTGCTCGTTTGCGCTCTTGATCAGTCAGGATCTTTTCAAATTTCTTTCGAATCCTGATTGTTGCCGTTTATTATTATCGCCGCCATCAATTATTAATGTGTTTCCTTAAAATGCGCTATATCTAAGATTAATTATTGACTAATATCTCGGTGCATAAATTCAAGAAGAAGTATTCATCATTAACATATACCAAGATATAAAATAAAATAAAGAAAAATTGAAAAATTAAAAAATCCATATCTTTTATCGGTAACATTTATCGGTTTAATTGTTTCCGTCAGCTATGAATATAATGATATGATCGATGAATATGATCGATACATACATACAAATTTATTTCTGATGTCGACAACTGTAACGCGCAACCCTGTTTTTCCCGGTGAGTGTTGCGAGTAAAATTTGATAACAATCTCGTATGCTAAGATGAATCCAGACCTAGTAGAAATGCGAACAGACATGAATGAACAAAGTTGCTTCGGTGAATGTACATGATGGTGGCGCAAATACGAAATAAATTTACATTGATAATAAATACATGCCCTTTCTTTTCAGCATATAAAAAAGGCTCGTTATAAAGTTCGCTTACACAAATGTTTGTTCATGAGTGTTCGTCTTTTCTAATTTGATCTGTAAACCATTTTTAAGGAATAAGATTATCATATATGAGGTATGCTCAAAAATTCTCTGACGTAAGCCTAAAAGATAAACGTGACTGATCGTATCTACTGCATGTTGTCTTCTTCAAAATATATTTTCGAAGTTATGAGAGGATGATACTTTGAATATATAATAGGAGATATGACAATCATGTTTTTTTCTTTTGGACTTAATCTGGAAAATTTTTGATAGCATCTCGTATAATTCTATTTGTATATCATTTTTTATAATTTTAGGGTCTGCATTATTTTTTTCAATCGAATAGTATTTATTACTAGTGATATCTTTCGTAATACTAATCTTTTTAGTATTACTTTTTACTTATGTTTTAATAATCTTTTTAATTTAGGTATTTCTTTGTTATGACTAGTTTTTTTTGGAATTATTATTTTCTTTGGTATTAATTTGATAGCGGATTATTTTTGGTATTATTCTCTTTAGTATTATTGATCTTTTTGGTATTATTAATTTTTTTATATTATTATTTTTTTGGTATTAATTTGATAGCGAATCTTTGTTGTTATTTTCTTCTTATTAATCTTTTTGATATCATTAATTTTTTTACTATTACAAAAAAGATTTAAATATTTCTTTGGAATTATTAATTTTTTGTACTACTATTTTCTTTGGTATTAATTTGATAATGAATCATCTTGATATTATTTTCTTTTATTAGTTTTTTTGGTACTGCAATTTCTTTGGTTTTTAATTTTTCTTGGTATTTGGTATTAATTTGATAGCGAATCATCTTTGTACATATAAGGACTAGAAATGATTATATGACTAGAAATGACTAGAAATGACTAGAAATGGTAAATTACATTTGGCGAAGGAACACTTAATTTCTACTTAAAAGTTTAAAATTATTTAATTTGTAATCTTGTTGCATTTTTAGTTTTTCCAGCAAAGCTTTTTCAAAATAAATTTCTGATTATATATTTTCTTTAAGAATTCTTATTTAAATTTTATATTAATATATATAGAAAATGTTATAATAAAACAATAATAAGACTTGATATTATTTAATTACAATAATAAAATAATTAGTAAAATGAAAGAAAAACGAGCTAAAACAAAATGAATTAACAGAACAAAATAATAAAATAATAACGATAAATAAAAATTAAGCGTCCCTTCTTAGCAACAATAATAATGCTCTTTCTCTTTCATAGCTCTTCATCAAATTCTTCAGTTTCTTTCCCATTTTTTTATTATTACTAGAAAGAGCATTATACTGAGCATTTTGATTAAGTACTCACAGTTACGAAAGCCGCCGAATCGATTAATGAATGAAAAAGCGTCATTGTCTCGTGTTTCTTACAAATCAAGACCGAATCTCCAGTAAAGTCCAGGTCGTCTTGGCAGAGGTCTCGCCGGAAATTGGTGTCAGGTCATCTCGTTGGTCAACTGGTTGGTCGGGACGGTCTGATTGATGTCTGGTTTACCAATAGTTTCCTGGCCATCGACTCCGTTGTTATTATTGCTGTTGCTAACGTTGTTATTAGTCTCAGGGTGTTGAGTGGCGAGGTGTTTACGCAGAGCAGCTTGCCTAGTGAACTTGGCCTCGCATTTGGTGCACGGGATTTCCGCATTGCTCCCCGACGACGATGTGGACGACGAGGTCGCGGAACTATCGGTATTGGGTAGTCTGGGCTTGTGCCAACGTCGATGAGACGCGAGATTGGCCGGGCAGGAGAACCGCTTGTCACACTCGGGACAACGATATTCCACGTGAGCGATTCGAGAGCATCGATGTTGTGCCAATTGGAAGGCGTCCTCGTGAAGTTGCCGGCAAAGTTTGCACTGATATGGTCCGAGCCGATTTTCGATCTTGGCCAGCTCGGCGCGCGCTTCCTCCGTGACCTCGACGATATTGAAGGCGGGATCGATGTCACCTGTGACTACCGCTTCGTCCGGGCCCAAGATGACGGTGCCCGATACCGGGCTGCTGGTATCCTCGTCGAACTTGAGCCGCCTGGCGTGTTTTTTCTTGGGCCTCTGAGCGACAGTTTTTTCGCCGCTGGTCTGTTTGGGGGTCGACAGGGAGGCGCTGCTAACGGGTGGTCCGGAGGGTGGTGAAACGAGATCTTCTTCCCGGACTCTTCTTCTGGGGCACTGAGGCGGCGACGGTGTGCTAGGCGGTGTCATAGGCGCGTGCACACTCTGAAGATGTTGCTGCGGTGTTAAAAGTAGCTGCTGATGATAGCCCTGCATCGATTGCAAATGCGTCGGACTCGCCAATAGAAGCTTCTGATTATGCAAGTGATATTTTGAGGCGAGCTCGTTCCCAGGATACGGCGGCAATCGAGTATTTTCTTCGGGAAGATGATGAATCTTATCAACGATCGAGTCGTGGAAGCGAGGCGATTCTTTATTGAGGACCAGTCGTTCGTAGTGGCTCTGATGACTCTGCGCCGAAGAGCTGCGTAAAGTATCCAGGTCGTCTACCACTAGCTGTTGATCATCCTCGCTGTCTCTGCGATCTTCGGGACAAGCCTGAATTTCCTCGCGGATTCTAAAATCTTTCTCGTCGCCCACTTCGATCATCTCTTCTGTCTTCGGGGTACTCGGCGTCGGCGGCGGCTTCAAGGACAAGTCCAAGGGACACGGCGTCGAAGACCTCGAAGATTCCCAGGACAACGATGTATGATGTTCAGCTGGCGGAATCCGCGAGTATAACGGCGAAGATGGGTCCTCCATCGGAATGTGCCACGTGGTCGATGGCGCAGCGTAAGTAGGATGAATCTCTTCACTGTAGTAGCTCATGTAGTTAAGACCCGGGGCCAGAAAGGCCCTCGGCAGAGCGCCGTGAAGCATCTTCACCTACTTTTCTTACTATCTGCCTCTTTTTGGATTTCTTCAAAACTCGCGCTGCGCCTTCCGCTTCTCGCTTTGTGTTTCCATAGTGTCGAGGGGCAGATCTCTCCCACGACTCGTTGCCGAGGGAACTCGAAGAACCGACCAGCTGTCACGAAGACACTTTCACTAGGGAAAGAAATGCTGGGCCTGTCTTACAAGGATACCCTCTTAAGATCTCCTTGGATGGTACGACGTACCTCTTCCCTCGGCTGTCGGACGTCGTGTGGCAGAATCCGCTCGTGCTGCGTCTCGTTTATGCCATACGCTCCGCCCGGGCAGCCGTTGCTTGTCGGACATTCATTGGTCGACGTTTCCACCCTCTTCCTACTCTTCGGTCGAACGCATGCGTGTTCTAAATGCATGACGCGCCTCTCGGCGCAGGCAAACGGCAAAACCGAGCAGCTGGTGGGGTAGAGATGTAGCTTCTCGCCTGGTCGGAGGTTCCTGTGGAGCAGGTAGAATTTTGATAAGAGAACAATGAGGACGCGATTTTTTATAGTTTTGGTATCGGTAAATTCATCTTTCTCTGGAGCAACATTAATTAATCTTACGAATCAGTATTTAAATTATATCAATCAGCGACCGAGTAATCTAACATCTTTACGAAGCTCGATCGGATGTTCTCCAATAAACAGAAAAATATATAATAATTTATTTACTTGTCCGGAATCATTTGAAAATTGCGGTGAGGCAAAGAAGTTTACTATAATTATTAATATTTTTTAATAAGCAGAAGAAAGCATATGTTTAATATTCTCAAAAGTTTATGAATTATATAAAAAGAAAAGAAATCTGGGAAATACTAATGTTTTTTGATGCCATAATAGATGCGTTTAAAAAACATATAAAGTTATCGTAAATCTCTGCATTTAGTTTCGCACGGTATCACGATGTATGAAGTTTAATACTTAAAGAGTATAATTTAATCATATTGCGGAAAAAATATTTTGCATATTTTATACGTTAGCATATTTTTCGAATACATTTAATAACGGGTCTGTCTATTACTTCTCAATAAAACGTCCAATGTCGCATCAATGATACACACCCAATACGACTATGCGACGTGACGTTCAATCATTCAGTCGCTCGGATAGTCCCTTATTATCGAGGCAACTCCCTTCAGTCGTACCTCGAAAGAGGAGCGACTTATTACATATTACGTTTAAAGCATCGTCGCGTCCCTCATGACATTAAATTTAGTCCTCGCACAATGACTCGTGCGACATTCCACGTTCGTTTTTTTTCATTGGCAGCCGTAGAAACGAGCGGATCTTGCGGCATCGCAGGTGACGCCGGCGATGGGGCGCATTGATAACCCGGTATTATACACGCGGTTCTCGCATATGCGCGTTTTATCATTACGCGCGCAAGCGAAATGATACGTTTCACACTTGAAACGCGACTGGTAGCACCACGCGTGTCTGTCAGAACGAGAGAAGTCGAAAGGCTCTTTTCGGCTGAAAACTTCTTACGTTTCATACTTTTTCTTTTTTTTTTCTCCACTAGTCACTGGTAGGATGACTTCCGGACCTCGATTCTCAAAAAAACTAATTTTTCATTATCTTTAGACGTAAAATTATTTGGAAATCAACAATTTTTTGGTATAAACGCTGTGAAAATCGCGACGAATTCTCTATCTAAGTAGACAACACAAATGCGCGCGATATATATTTTTTTTACAGAAGAAGCAGAAATTAATATAATACTATTACACTATTAATCTTTTGATACGCTCATAAACACAATTGTCGAAACGATCCCCGCGATGGCAGCCGTTCACGAACGCCGTTAACGCAGCGAGAGAACTAATCGGCATCGCGGAAGAGAGGCAACAATAAACTTTAAAAGGTTCGAAACTTTCAAGTTGACATGCCTTTCTCCAAAAAGGAAATGGAGAGATAAAAATGAACCGTGGAGTAAAAAGAACAGGTCTGAAGTGTCATCGAGCAATATTTGCCGTAAAGGCGTCCCCGCGACGACCGACGACGCGGCGATCGATCGATTGCACAACTTGCATATCTCCGAATTCCATAGAGCGTTCGTTTTAGAATCTCGTCGATCTCCTCCCGGAATTCGTGGATTTAATCTTGCGCTCAAATAGACACGTCGATTAACGATTCCACTGATTAATTCAAGGGGTGAGCTGGAAATGGAAATTAGACGAGCGCGCTGACACTTGGATCGACGACTGCACGCATATTTGAAAAAGCGTTTTGCAATATTAATCGCGATTCTCTGCCGGCCATCAATTCGGCGAGGTAAAGTTTTCGGATTAAAACGTTCGATCTTTCGTTGAGTCTCATTTTGATATATATTTGATATTCTACACGATGTCTGCCATCGTTGAAATAATTTCTGTTATACCTAAGAATCTTAAGAGATGATTTCACATCGGATCTTTAATCGGCTATCTTTAATGTAGCTCTTGAATTATTTCTTAATTATATATAATTATCAATTAATCATGTTCAGATCGAATTTAATTAAGAAATATTCATATCTCTAAAATCGTGAAATGGAAAATATTAGGAAAATATTAGGAATATTAATCCAGGTCGTTTAAGGCTGTGCAAAATGTTTAACTGAAATTATGTGGAAGAAAACCATTTAAAGTTAAAGCTTGATTTATACAAATCTTTTCTTTTCGATGTGCATGTAGATTTTAGAAATTTTTAGATTACTTTACACAACAGCTTTAAATTTCCTAAAACAAAATTTTTCTCTGAACAAAACCTTCGTTTCCTTTGCGTGAAAAATTCTTTTTTCTATTGAAACACCGACAGCTACCTAAAAGTCACCAGTTTTCAGAACGAGACAGAGAAGACAGATTTCTTTTTTTCGACGAGAAGATTGCATCGACAAGAAGACGCCGTCCGTCCCGAGGAGACATTTTCCCACGAAAAGCGCGGCAGCGTCGTAATCCGTTGATCTTCTTACGTAATTAACAGGCTGTGGCCACGTCCGCCGATTAATCGCTATAAATATTTCCGCGATGCTGATGGACGTGACCGTGCCTCCCGTCGTTGTGCCATTCCGAGTCCGTGATGTGCGTTCGTGTGCGTGCAAGCCTGTGCACATGTGCGGAGGTCGGACCGATGGTCAATCTGCACCCCTGAGAGATTCGCCAAGACCGAGGACAATCACTATAATTGGACAAGTGGAACTGTTGAGATGCACTCAAGAAACGCTATTTTTACCCTCCCGATGAGATGAAGAACCGATTGACGATTTTTACGACTGATTGTTGTCGATTGTTGTTCGCTTCAAATTGTGCTATTGTTGCTCAAAAAAGAATTTTCAGAAAGAATTATTCAAGTTTATAATTCGGGTTTTACTCGTAAAAATAATTTTATTCGTAAAGTAACTTTCCTTCAAGTTTTCATAACAATACTCTCAAGAATAAAGCAGAAGCATTGAAATTTTCTTTCAAAAGAATCGTCCATCCTTTGTAAGAATACATATTATGTGAAAAAGATCGCCGTGCAAAAAATTGAAGAAATCTAACTACCTAAAATTTTTCAAAAGATTTTTCAGAGAAAAAGAGTGAACATTTTCATTATAATGCATCGATTCAATATGTCAGTATTGTCGATACATTTTATCTATTGACATCGAGATCTTTGACATTTTTCGAGCTACCTGGAAATTTTTCAACACTCGAAACTCGAAGATTTAGCAATCTATAAGAAGTTTGGTATGTTTCAGAAAAAAATATTTTTGTGTTAAATATAAATATTCACCAACAATACACACAAATACATGCATATTGATAGACCGTTATAATGAACCGGTGCCTCTCGGTCATTTTAAATTTAAATGACAATGTCTTTTTTAGGAAAAATAGACCTATTGCTAAGAAAATAGACCTATTCATAAATATAGGAATATTTAAACGGAGCCTAAATCAGAAAAAAAGAATTCGAATTTGAATAACTATTCAATATTGTTCATGTTACAGCACTCCCTCGCAAAGTCTACTTAAAGCTATTCAGATATTTCTATAGATATTGGATAAATCGTAAGAATATTTGAATTTTCACGTATCAAGCTCATGTAAACCTAGTTTCCCATCTTCGTAGTTTTATGAATTTCTACTTCCTTCAATTTTTAGATTCGCTTTGGTGGCGCGATACAGCAGATCTTCGTGATTAAATATAATTTCGGAAAAAATCCGTAAAATAAAATTCTTAGCGAGAAAAAAGAGGAGGCGAGTTGTCACATATTATCGATACATACGTTACTTATGATGTTCTATATTCGTCGAGATTGATTAGTTGTTTTCAATCTCTTCGATTCTACTTGTTTCGATATCTGTCTTTCGATATTTTTACATTCGGCACAGTTATATTACGTTGACCAAGAGGGGGAAATATTGCAACACATATCCGGAAATCCGTTCGCGTACTTTGCCCCGCGTAATCTCCCTGTCTGCTATCTTTCTCTCTTTCTCTCTCT